AGAAGAAACATTTTCATAATGTTTTCTTTTCAGCGTTTTATAGCAATTCTAAAATTACTCAGTCTGCTTCGCAATCGAAAAATCGGCTTTTTCTGCTTCTCGAGATGTGATCCAACCAGATAAAAAGCTCAGAAATTTGTGAAAAGTGGTTCCATGAAATCAGCATGCATGAAAACCCTACTACATACTTTTAAGAATCCAAAAATAATGACTTGTCTTCAAAACTGGTCAAAGGGGACTTCGTACGAAATTTACAAGATCAAACGTGACTTCGTTTCGAAATTTCCTTGGTGCCAGCTCGTGCCGAGCCCTGGGCGGAGCATTTGCAGACATCTGAACACGTTGGTGACTTATAAACCCTCTACTGCAAGGCATTGATCTTTGTAATCTCTCGCTACCGACTCTACCACGTACGACAACAGCATATTATATAGGTGGCAATTCAGAGAGTACAAAGAACCATACTTTGCAGTAGAGGTTTGACAAGTCACCAACGCGTTCAGATGTCTGCAGCTCCGCCCAACGTACACCGGGGAGGCGACCATAGGTCGTAGTTCACTTAATTAGCTAATGTGCGGGCTGTGCAAAGAGGGCGAAAGTTGCAATCGAGCACTTTCATCGTTGGGAAGCATGGGATGCAAAAATAAGTCGCCGATCATCGCCGCGTTTGTTTGTTTTTTTTCTGTACCAGAAACACCAAGGACGGGAGCGGGGAAAGGGGTCTGGGTGGATTTTGATTTTAGGATTTTGTAAGCGCTTCATGTTGTAAGAATATACAAATGAGTAGTTTTTACAAAAAAACAAATCTCTAAAAGAGTTGGCTTCGAAAAAGAAGCCCGTCTCTAAAGATGGCTAGAAACCCGCAAAAATTTTGCAAAGCACAAAAAAATCCTCAGTAAGCGACACCGAAAAAATCTTCCGAACCACACTACTTTGTACTCAGTATTAGGGGAAAGGGCCGAAAATTCGATTATATCCCGACTTCTAGCTGTAACAAGAATGTAGTCGAATTGCACCTCCACTGTAAACACCATACCGCGTCGCTATGTTTCGTAGTGTTTGAAAGCGGTGTCTAAGAATCGGCTTAGTTCAAGTGCAGTAATTTGGGTCCTCCCTCAAGCAACACAACATGACCACAACTGCAGCTGAAGGCTCCCCATTTAGCAATCCAGATCGGTGATTGCCCTTTGATGAGCAAGAGCGGTCGTGCTCTTGTGGTTTTCTGCCTGCGAAAGTTTCACCATAAACAGCAAAATCAAAAAAAAACCCGTGCACGATCCCAAGTAAAGGTCGAGAGGTAACGGCATCGGCGTCACTTTGCAAATGCCATTTGAACATGAACGACTCTTCGGTGACGATGACGGCACGCCACTGCGCTTCACGCTTTGTACCGCCATAAAATCTTCACAAACGCTGACCTCCACGCTCTTCTCGACACCGCAGAGCACATAAGTGAATACTTCAACGCAAGAATCGGAATGCCACTGGAAGGGAATTTCAAAATCAGAAAGTTTAGATAAGGCCTCCGGACGAAAACGGCAATAATTTTGTTGAGCTCCTCTTCGCGAGAACCGCTCTTCCCTCTTTTCAACTTTCTTCGACTATGAGAACGCCTTTAAAAGCTTTGGAACCAAGGCGTTGAAACGACTGAAACATCCTGTCAGCTCTTTCGACGAAGGAGTGAACGTAGCTTATTTGAGGATACTGACCAACTGTTATGAGATTGTACTGATGATTACATTCTATGATAATTACTAGCTTACTTACCCGGCTCCGCTCGGCCAGGTCAAAACACTGTAATAAAGGTCCTACCTCAATCCCTCTACAGCCTTTCCCTGTGCCCACTTCTACACATCATTTCCGTTCCCTGTGTTGTTTTCGAGATTAGCATGCTCGATTACTCCCCTGTGCCAACTCCCAGCCCTGTAGCTCAAACTTTGCAAAAAATCGATAAAAGTAATCAATAATTCAAACTGATTTTGTATTCGGAATCGCCATGTCCACTTACCTCCCTGTGCCAACTCCCAGCCTTGTAGGTGAACTCGGCAAAAAAAGATAAAAATCGATAAAATCGATATCGATCGATAGCGAAAAGTAGTCCATGATACGCTCCTTGCCCCGAAGTGTATGTGTGCCAAGTTTGGAAAAGTTTCCAAATCGGTTTGGAAAAGACATACATAAAGACCCAGTGGCGTACCCAGGATTTCCGCTCGGGGGGGGGGGGGGGGACAGAAAAATATTTCAAATGAAGGTGCGTGATGTTAGCCACGTACTCCGACAAAATTTTGGGGATGCTTCTCAAAATTTTTGCAGGTCCCCTACCCCTAAAATTTGGAAAAAGGGGGCGTGGCGTCAGCCACGCCCCCGAAAAAAATTTTTTTGCAAGGCGAATTTGAATTCTTAAAATTTTTGAAAATTATTTTAATTATTTACAAGTATAAACAAGTCAACATTTTTACAATCCATATAAGTAACTTCCAAAAATTTTGCGACCCGTTCTCGGGGGGGGGGGGGGTTGACGAAATAATTTTGAAAAATCTGAAAATTTGTGTGGCAAGGTCTTCAAGCATGCTAATTTCACTACATGGGTTTTCAAGAGTTTTTCGAGCTTCCTTGATGGTTTATTTACACTTCTGACGAAAATTGGAGAAACAGTTGTTACCCTAGATCTGAAATAACTTATGAAAAAGCATTATACTGAAGTGCAAATTTCATATTTAGAGATAATAACTTCGACTAACCACTACAAGAGTTTTTGGCTTTTTTGGTTTCCTTTCTAAGGCAAAAACCGGCAAAAAACCGCTTTCAATGGCTCAAAATCCTTCTCAAAGTTCCTACCGTAAGCTTACAGAAATGAGGAGCAATCGATCATTCGGTCCACACTGCAAATCTAAGTTGAACCCGGTCTACAGAATTGCACCTCAAGCTCGGCAAAAGACATGAAAACGGGAGAATTATTTACGATCAAACAGTGTGCACATCTTTTTGGGTTTGGACACCCTGTATAAGATAATAATAGGCTAAGTGTACTTACGCGTCTTTGTGTGCGTATGTGTGTCTGTGTTTCTGTCTGTAACGAAAATCGTAGAGCGAGTTCCAGCCAACGTTCTGAGCCCAAATTTTGCACAACGCACGCTGCCGGCGTAGAACTCCACCATGCTAAAGCCCGAGCGGATTCGTTGGGTGGGTCCCTCAGAATTTGCGCGTCAGACGGATTCACTTGGCTTCTGCCACGCAAAATTGGGTCCGCATCAATGCTTTTTGCAAAGTCGTCGATGTGTTCGACATATTAATGTACGCCATGGACTTTAGACCAAAAAGTGTCCAAAGGTCTACTACTTTAGAAAACGACGCCAAAAAGAAATGGTTGCGTAAATAATCAATCCGCCATATTTTTATTTGAGCATTTGAAAAGATTTTTGCATAGAGATGTAGGTCACGGTAACTATTGTCCTCATGGCGACCAACAAGCCAAAAGAAGTTTCAAAACAATTCCTGTTCGCATTTGTTCTTCTGCGAGAAGTTCCATCCACCGAAGTCACCGATCTCACATGAAAAAGCTTTTGGAATGAGTAGTTGTTTACATTTTATTCGTGATAGTGGGCATTGCGCGGTGAGTTTCAAAGCCATCATTAGTCGAGAATGAGTAAGGTATATAGAGTAGGATCAGTGCGAGCCTCTGCGGAGCAGAGGTGACGGGTATCTACCAATCAACGTGATAGATGCTTTTGATTGCGAGGAGCTGTATGCATGGTTTCCGTCCAAGCGCACTTTACTGCGTTGAGCATGTAAATAAGAAGAGAGAAGATAGCTTTTAAAACTCCGAAGTTATCCCGCGCGCTTCGGGACCACACCGCGGTTTCCCGCTATTGGAGGAAAATTATTGAATTGAGCTAACGATTCTTTATTTATTAGATAGCGGATACGCGTCATTCTGAAACTGTCTGATTGTTTAAGCACAGCCCTCCGGAGAGTGAAGTAGAAGTTCACCGGAGTGGTCTCAACAACGAAACACTCACTCACTAGATTGCTCAAAGCATGTTCAGGCAGCACAGATAATGATCGCTGTCAGCTGTGCAGCTGCACTCAAACGATTTCAAGGACAGTGAGAAAAGCGCGTTCGGGTCCGGACACGAACAGCCTGACGGTCACTGTTAAGAGGGCCATGTATGTATAGGCGATTCATCGCACGCAAAGGCTGCGGATGTATCGCGTCTCTGTCAAGCGCTCTTTCGTTTCTCATACCATCTGCTGTCTCCGTCCAAGCTCGAGCTATCTTGGTCGGACGCAACGGCGCCCAGTCTTTGCGGTTTATGAATCGCCGATATATATATAGGGCACCTCCTCAGTCCCCCACCCCTGAAGAGCTTGCGTTCCCGCGTTTCGCAAGCATGATCACCTAATGCTTTTCCTCCTGTCCACATGGTAAGGCCCGAATCTGACGTTCGCCCTTCGGAAATAAGGCCTTGTAGGGGAATTTTTCGAGGTAATCACGCATTTGCTAGGCTTTGTGGGATCGTAGTGCCCAAAATATCTGGGTCGATGAACTCGCGGACTTTTCGCGAAGATTTTTTGCAACTGTGAGATCGAAGCTGCCAGTGAACATTTTCGTCCAAAACCAAGCCTAGGGGAGCGGCATTACCACTTCAGGAGGTGATCCCTGCATTTCTTTTGATTCGACTTCCGATGTGCCGCACTACGCAGCGCTTTGCGAATTCAGTATACATTGTTTCTTTCGCAATATATTGTTACGGGACTCGCAGCAGTCGCAGGATTTGCAGGAATCGCAGGACAGGAATAGATGGCCGGTCTCCAGGGGGACTTTTTGGCTTAACATAACTGTAACGGCGCGCTGTCTGTAACAACACACTCTCAACGGCACTCTGCCGTGTCAAATCAACTCAGTGGTTCAACTTCAGCTTTTTTTATGCAAATCTCGTTTTCAGAGGCTTACATTTTCTTCCAGTATTGTTTATTGATCTATTGTTGCTTTAATCTAGGCTCTCCATCATATGGAGGATAAGGAAACCTCCAGTGAAGAAGAGTTTAAGTTTCCTTGGGAGTATCTTGCTGAGTTCACGACCGTTTTCCATAAAGCAGAAGACGATTTTGCTTACCACTACGACTGTTGCTTGTCCAGAGTACAACTGAAGTAAGTTTTGAAATTTGACTATCCGATTTTTTCATTTTTCTGGAACTTCACTAAAGTAGCAAAAGACCTTTAATTTTCTTTACGAATAGTTCTTGACTGCAGCAGTACGTATTGCACAGCTGCCTATGATGGATGGCAGTTTAGCTTCCAAAAGTTTCGTTGTCTTCAATAGAATAAGTGCTTTCAGCGACAGAGAGCTTCTTCGGCTTAGCGAAAAGCAGAACTGTGAGCCAGTGGTTGACGACTTAGCTGGATCACTCGTTGTGATGAATGTAGTTGACCCGGAGGAGATTACTACAGAGAGCGATTCGTTTCTAGAAGAGAATTCTAAAAAAGAAAGTTGGTGTCATCTATTATTTCGTCAATATTTCATTTTCTGCCATATTCCAGGTCTGAAAAATTCTGAGCTCACCAAAGAGGCATGGGCAGAGCTCCCAAAACAGTTTGGTTCTTCAAAAAAAGACCATAGTAGATACTTTAAAAGACGAAAAAAGTCGCATGAAGACGCCCAGAAGTGGTTACGGAATACTACGTTCGATGAATACTGGGGAGTAAGTTGGTTCCAACTTACGTTTTTCTCTTCTCACCTTTCTTTTCTGTCCTTTATTTTTGGCCATTTGATTTTTTGGAGTAAGGAAGCAATAACTCTCTGAAGGCACACTCTAAAAGCAGTGGATCGTGTGCACCCTTGTGGGACTTTGGTGGATAGGTAGTATCCCAAGCACACTGTGGCCCAAACTCCACTTGTCAGTTCGTGCGCTAAATCTTGAAAAATGCGCTTCAAAACTCTACCGACCCCGCCCGCCCACTTCCATTGAGTGGGCGGGGCCGGTGGAGTTTTGAAGCGTATTTTTCAGGACATAGCGCATGAATTGGCAAGTGGCGTTCGGGCTAAGATATGCTTGGGTACTACCCCTAAATTCACCGAAGTCCAAGAAGGATGCATTTTGCCGATCCACTGCCTCAGACGTGGATTTATCAGAGAGGTGGAAGGTAGTTCTTCCCGCATTGCACATTGTTCTAGAACCTAAAAGCCATTTTTGGTTGCGCATAACTCTCACTTTCTTCAAGGCTGAGACTAATAGACTGCACTGGATCTCACCTTTTCGTAGGACTGAACTCATAGGTGCGCGAAGGAATGCATCCCAGTTCGTGGTTCCCGAACTATTCCATAGTCTCGTATTGGCGTATCGTACGCAGTTTGTTCTAAATTCGAAACGATTTTCTCTAACTTACAGTCGATGCCAATTACGTACTCCCTTTCGCATGGGACCTATGCATGCGCAACGCAAGGGCCCTGCGCGCGGACCGCCAATCGATAAGGCCAATTTGAATGCCCGAGCCATACGCGCGCGAACGTGGCGCGAAACTCACTGCGCTTACGGAAATGGGAGCACGTGATTAACACTAACTGTATATTTTTGACACCTTGCAAAACAACTCATCACAGTAGATCGAAATCCCTTTAAGTATTTCATAATGTCTGCTTATCTTTGATAAAGTCGACTGCACGAAACGCCCGGGTCGCTGTAGGTTGAATGCACGCGAGCGTGCCTGTAACGCGGCTTCCGAGTTCGAGTGCTATGATGACTCATGCGCGCTAATGCCAATGTTAGCCCGCAAGAGACACGCTCGCGTGTGTTTAGCCCGGGCGATTCCCTGCAGTCAGCTATAGCTAGTCTACATCCATTTCATAGGAAACGGCTGCCTATGTCATCTACCGTACTTGGTACGAGGATTATGGGCAAATCATGAATGAAAGCGATAGGAAGCAACTGGCGAAGCAGATAGAGGAGTACAAGCCTTTTGCACTGCTGGATGAGCACAATGATGAGGTAAGTAACTGAAGTTGCTATGTTCTCTTTATCAGGTTAGTAACAGTCCTGCACCTTTCTCGAACTTCGATAAGAAATGACCTCATCATTTATGTACTGCAAAAAAATTTATCAGATTGGTAGTACTGCATTGCTTTTGAGTTGCTTCAGTCGTTAACGGTAGATCTCGTAACATCTACATTGCAAAGTAGAGAGATTTCATTTCTGATTCTACTTTTCTAGAATATCTCCAAGTACTTCGGATTGACCAAGGACGCCAAATTCTCCACCTATGAGGAAGCGTTCTCTTTGCATTCTGATCTTGTCACCAAGAAAGCAGAGAAAGACTTTGAATCATTTCGCGTAGCCATGACAAGTAATAGATGCAAAGCGTTCTTGAGAAAGGTGAATTACTCCTCTAGTTTTTCAATTACAGTTTGTTCATCAGCTATTGTGCCATTGCATGAATTCTAGCTGAGTCTTTTCGCGATCATCAGTTTTCATTTTCGATGTGTTACGCCACATTTGTCCATAACCAATAACTTTTTCTGCCAGTCATATGCAATAACAATGCTCTTCAGTTTAGATTCACAAAATGGGATTTGTGCCGGGGTACGCCGATGAAGATATCATCAGCCCTAGCACCAATACGATTAGTGACGAAGTTGTTCCGAAGAAGAAGACCAAATCTGAGTCAAAACGTCGGTTCCCCGTGGTATACGGTGAAGATGAGGTTCGCGTAAAGATTTTTTCTATGTTTGAGAGATAAATGCTTTTCAGATATTTAGCGGGGTCAGTTACGATATATGCGATACCTACGCAGCATCCATGAAAGTCGTGCTAGATAGGTGAATTCTTTTGAGTTTTCTTTCGTGCTTTTCCAGGTCGTTCACTCTTTTCTTCCACGAATTTGCAACCATGCACACTCTATTAACTTGATTTGCAGGTCAGAGAAGACGGTGAAGGAAAGTGAGGCTAGCACCAATGGTTGTGAAAGTGAAGTAGCTGAACCTTCAGCTGTTGTCGGACCTTCTAACGGCGCGTCAAGAGCTGAGATTTCGTTCGCATTTGATCCGAATAGGGAACCTCACCTTGTTGCGAAAAATGCTTTCGACTATTACAAGGATGATGAGGTGAACAGTTTTTGGTGACGATGTATCATTCTAAACAATCTACCGTAGTCCTTCGCAGTTAAATAGCATCCGCCCTGTCTGTTCGGGCGGCTTTTATCTGATTTCGTATCTGTACCTCTACTCCTTTTCGTTCCTCACACCGTCTTCAACCACCAGAACAATGCTTGCATTACTAGCAAACAACCATAATATTTCATTGGATTTCGACAAAAACGCAGGTCACTTAAATCGCGGTGCGGGGAGGGGGGGGGGGGTGTAAGAGTAGAAAAAAGCTTATTTTGGAGCTGCTAATCATGTGGTATGACATGTGGTATGCGATGACTTTACATGGTTTGATAGGAAGTAATTTAGGAAATCATCAAATACTGGTACCAGCGGTACAGGCTGTTCTCAAAACTGGACAAAGGAGTTCTCATGGATCGTGGTAGGCCGATACTTTTCTCGGTATCGACGATCATATGAACTACTGTTTGATGGTATTTTAGAGGGCTGGTTCTCGGTAACTCCTGAGCGAATAGCAGAACATATTGCTGATCGCATAGTGAGGCGGAAGGAAATGCTAGTTGTAGATGCGTTTGCTGGAGTTGGTGGCAACAGTATCCAGTTGGCTATCAAAGGAGCGCGTGGTATGTGTCCTTAGCCCCTTTGCATGATTCAAAGGTGGCTTGAGTACAGTCGCTTGTTATTATACCATATATAGTGGTGTGATTGATCAAGACGCTCATTTTTATTCCAGTAATAGCAATCGATCTTGATCCAGTGCGATTGAAGTGCGCCCGAGAGAATGCTAAGGTATGTGGTATTCTCAAACGAAATTCGATGCGGTTTTTTTTGAGCTTTCTCTTTTTATTTTTGCTTAGTATGCTCGAACTATAGGTATATGGCGTTGAAGATCGCATCGAATTTTTGTGCTGTGATTTCTTCCATTTTGCAGCCAAATGGACTAGCGGCTCAGAAAAGTGCGCAGAGGTATTGATTCATCTACATTTTATGTTTAAACATCCTAGGAAATACTCAAAGGAGCATCAGTTTTTGCAGGTAGACGCTGTATTTCTTAGTCCACCATGGGGAGGACCTGGTTATTTGAAATCAGAGGTGAGTGGTGACATGGCAATGTTTCATCTACTCCTGGAAAAGTAGTTTACAACTGCACAATCAAAATCATTCCTGTTTGTCATAGATCTGCATCTTCGTTGAAATCGCGAAGTGAAACAAGTCTATTTTGTGTACGATCATGCTTATGGGAGCTGGACTATCTGACCTTAATGCGCCGAAGTTTAAAAAAAAATCAAAATCAAACTGAAATTAAATGAACGCGGAGGAACACCGAGTTTGCTTTATGAGCTCAAATTCGACTGGACGTATGCGTGCTCACTCGGAATTTTCACTCTGTTTGACTGCGCTGAAGCTATATAGCTTGTCGGTTTGCATCAGCTGGTCGCGCTTTGATAGCACCTGAAAATGTAACGCAAGGCATCCTTCTAGACGGTGACAAGGCTTCAATGATTGCTTGAGAAGAAATTGAAAAAGAGTCGCTCAACATGGCAGAGGATGCGGTCGTATATAATATGATTTGCTTGCTTCCTGTGTTTCGCAACAGCTCAATTTGCTCTCGTTTGTAAATTGTAAAGTATAACTATTTTTATTCACTGATTTTGTTTCATGACTGATCGAATTCCAGAAGGAAGAATTGTAGTAGACTTTGCTTGTATGTTTGACATTCCAGGTTTTTGATCTCGATGATCTGACTCCAAACGGTTTTGACATCTACACCGCCGCAAGTAAAATGTCTCCAAATGTAGCATACTTTTTGCCGAGAAACACAAGCGTGAAAGAGGTAATGTTTTTTTGTGTTTATTTCTGTTCATATTCCTTTCCACTTTCACATTCTTTTCTCTTGCAAAGTAACATCAACATCACCATCAACTTTATGACATATTTTCTTTGATGTTCGCGAGTTTGATTAAACTGTTCAAGCAATATTATAGACAATTAGGGTGTTTCGATGGAGCATGCGCGAAAAATTTGCGCGAATAGGTATTTTAGAATTTGGCATAACTGTCAGTCCACATTATCTTGGGAATTCTCAGTAGTTCCACAATAAACCAAGAGTCTGCTTGCATCATGTCGCAGATATAAGCTAAAGCCAGCTTTTCAGTACAGTACTCTGACAATGAGAACGGTGAAAGAGGTTGAGTCAGGAAAATAACAAATAACTTGTCTACGCATAATTTTGGGACTCTTTGTATCTTAAAACACTGAGGACGGACCAAAACATTTTTGAACTGTCTCGTGCCCTCTTTATATCGAAAAAAGGAAGTTTTTGGATTCTGGCATGTTTCTTACGAAAATAATCAGTATAGTTTGTATTTCAGCTGATAGCACTTAGTGGACCTGGAGGGAGATGCGAAATTGAACAAAGCTGTCTAAATAAAAAGATCAAAACGTTGACTGTTTATTACGGCAACTTAGCAGCTCCACGAGGCGAGTAGGACAAGCATTTACGGTATGAAATAACCACTTTCCTCTTCCTTGACCTTTCATATTTTTCCGCTAATTTCTATACATGTTTTGCTTGCATACACCGTTGAATCAAATAGGTCACTTTATACTTCAACGATTATTCATGAATTGGCACTCAAGCCAATGAACTATTTTATGTGACCAAATTGAATCTCATCACCACTTCTATTTTTACTCTTCATACTTGTGATGCTTACTTACTGTGTCAGATCAGTAGAATGCTACGAGCTATTTGTTATGTTCTCATACTTCACTTTCTTATCTGCTGTACATATTGATTGTTGCGATTTGACAATTTTATTGGTACATGAATATAAAATTCCTATTTTGTTCATGGCAGGGAACATAGCTCAACAAGTCAAGTAAAATTTTCAATGGGTTACTTGATATCTTGATTTGAGCGATACTCAAAGTCTCATTTATTCTAGCCTTTTTAGAGCTGATTGATTTTCCTTTGTCACAAAGGCCTAGATTTACTGCGCTAATCCACTGACAGCGGCCTGCAGAAGAAAACGTAAGATAAAAATTGAGGCGATTAGAATAAGAATGCATCCTTCTAAAGTGCTTATGAGTTCAATTTCCCCACATATCTATGATGAGCTTAATTATGAGTGAATTATGTAACCTGGAGTTTTTTCTCGTCCTGTTGCTTGTATCATCCTTTATAAAAATAGATGGGCAACAAAAAAGCCTCATTGAGCTTGCATTGAGATATGCGAAAACGGTATGTATTGGGTAGTCTCTTCCGGGATTGCTCATTTTGTATATCACGGACTATTAAGCAATTTGAACACTTGGTAGTGTTGCACTGATCTTCGGCAATACTCTCAGGTTTCATAAGAGAGAATCGAATTTTAATGGGACACAGATTTAAATGGGAGGCCCTGCGAATTTCCCAAAACGTTGTGTGGTCTTCAAAAAAAAAAAAAACTAGGAACAAGAGTACTTGGTGACAAGACGGGAACAGGTCATGGACTATAAGTGACAACATAAATGATGGTCTTGTTGTTCTGTCTGCAGTTCGAGTTGCTGAGAAAACGGCGCTATTTGGCTATCCGGGCCCCAAAATTTTTTTTGTCATGGATTTCGCTCAAACTTGGTCCAGGGGGGTTATCCGACATGCTGATCATGAATATTACCTTTCCTCCGCAGGAAAACGCCTCCCTGCAGGGTTACGGTAGGTGCACGGTAGGGGGTCAAAATCACGGATTTGCCCGAAACTTGGCCCAGAGGGGTTATTCGGCCCGCTCATGCTGAATATCATATTGGTTTTGTACCGTAGCGTCATTTTGTCGGGTACGGTGGGTATACGGTAGGGGGTCAAAATCTTAAAATCCGCTGTAACTTCGCACAGAGGGGTTATTCAACATGCTGATTAGAAATGTCAAACTTTCTCCGCACGAAAGCGTCTCCCTGCATGGTTACGGTAGGTTTTCGGCAGGGGTCAAAATCGCAAACCGGCAAATGTATTCTTCCCCCGTGCTTTGCTTAGGCAAAAACCGCAGCAGGATGTGTAGCGCGCGACGGTGGTCGTGTGTGCAAAGCTTCACGATCGTCCGAATCGCCGCCTTCGGGCAAATCCGTGATTTTGACTTCTTACCGTAGTCGTACCATAACTCCACCGGTTGGCGCTGTCGCACGTAATAAATATCATATTCGTGTTCAGCATGCCAAATAACCCCTCTAGACGAAGTTTGATCCGTGATTTTGACCCCCTACCGTGCACCTACCGTAACCCTGCAGGGAGGCGTTTTCCTGCGGAGAAAAGGTGATATACGTGATCAGCATGTCAGATAACCCCTCTGGGCCAAGTTTGAGCGAAATCCATGACAAAAAAATTTTGGGGCCCGGATAGATAGCGCCGAAAAAACCTACTGAGTGAAAATTGGAGACACAAAAATAAAAACGCTGCATCGGTTTTCTGGTTTTCCAAATTTGAAGTCTGAGCAATTCATCTATGAAAGACGAGGTAAGAGAGATCATAGAGTAAAATAAGACTTTTTAAAAAGCTATACACCTTTCACAGAATGACTAGAAAAAAATTAAGACAAGAGAAGTGTGCGAGTTTATTACATGATCAACCCAACTGAAAATTGATAATATACTCATGTTTTCATAGAGATTTGCAGATACAAAGGTTGAAAATTTATATCAGCGTCAAGAAGGTCGTAGCGCGAGAACAATTACCCTAATTTCACGCGTACAAGGCGCACCTTTTTCCATTTCTCAAACAAGCCGCTCAACCGCTTCAATGTGTTTCGGAAAGTGAACCTTAACAGTTCAATTCTCTCAGGCAATATGGAGCCCGGTATAGGGTTCTTTGGTCGCGAAGTGTTGTGGCGTGTTTGGGCCGGCCGGTTTTAGAAAAAAAATCCCCCGCGCCTCGTACGCGTGAAAATAGGGTATATCATTTTCTAATCTTTTCATTAGCTTTGTCGTCATCTCACACAAGCGTCTTAATCATACTAGCCTCAACTGCTCAACAGAAACTTTCTAGAGTGCTTAGCTCTGTTAGATGATTTTTCCGATTTCTATGATATTTTCTGCGTTGTACAGGGTGCCCCAAAAATGTGCCTACTGTTTGATTGTTATTGATTTCCTTGTCATGAAATCTGTCGAGAAGGTTTAGGTCCCATTTCGTAAAGCTAGCTTCACTTAGAGCTGTATGGAGCGAATTATCGATCTTCCCTCATTACTGTGGGATTATGGTAGGAACTTGCAGCATAGGGCGCCACTGTAAGATAGGCCGTTGGAAAACTTTTTTTATGTCTGAAAGACTGTACAACAAGGTTATCATGCATGCCGATTTCACTACATAATTTTTTTGCGCGATCGTAGAGCTTTGCAAATGGCGTAATCAAATTTTTGACGAATTTTAGGAATCGGTTTTCAAGGAGCGAGGCGTAACTTATGAAAAATATTACTGTGAAGTGCGAGTTTCATATTCAAAATCAAGGCTATTCCTAGTGTATGAATTTTCAGCTTCTCGGTCCTTTATAGGGGTAAAATATGACCCTCAATAATGCAAAGCACTCCTCAAAGTTTCTACCTTAACCCTACAGTAACGAAGAGAGATCGGTAAGTTGCTCCACACCTCAAAACTGAGCTGGAGCCAGCTCAAGTAGTGGCTGAAGTTTCTCGAAAAATTTCATAACAAGAGAGTGATTAGCAATTAAGATTAGATTAGGAGGCTTTAATCTGCATTATAGAGCCATTAACTGTAATTCATCCAGGATGTGCAATAATATCTTCTGTAGATGCGTTCGATGGTTTCAGCTGTTGCCCAGTGATATCATTTCATCAAAGGATGCGCGATGCTTCAGTGCTAAGTTGAAACGGGTTGGCTTACTCGGCTTTTTTCTCGATAGTTTTCTGTAATTAGTCTTTTTCAGTTCATCTCTGGTAACTACGTTACATGTGGTTCTACTACCGGTGATGTTGCATTGTGTCGTGGCTACTGCGTGCTGCTTAAATAATCGTCACTGATGTTATTTGACATTTTTTTGCCCACGTCTTGTTAGTCGGCTACATAGAATTAGAGAGAGGCCGTTATCTTCAGTTTTGAATTTTTGTTTTGTTACTACTAACCATGACCATGCCTTACTGACGTTCACTTCAGCGAGTCTCTTCATCAGGGTTACGTTAGCAATATTCAATTATCTTATTGTAGCCTGGCCCCATCTACAGTCTGCTTGATTTCTTCTGTTGGTTTGCGGACAAGTGAGCATGCTGCAACTAACACAGTTGAAATAGGGGGTTGGAGTTGGTATGTAAAAGTGGGCAGCACAGGGAAAGGTTGTGCAGGGATAGGGATGGGAGCTTTATCACAATGTTTTGACAGGGCCGGGCGGAGCCGGGTAAGCCAGTTAGTTTGATATAATATAAGTTCAATGGAAGACATCATCCGGACAGTTGATGTTACTATGACAGTGAGAGGTGATAAGAACAAACATTCAAACTGTGCTATCAAAAACTTCGGTTGCATTTGCTGGATCCTTCAGCTTTCTTCAAAAATAAAAATTGTATCACTTTTGATTGCGAATTGTACGGTCTCTATTTTCGAACTAGGATGAATTCGTAATGGTCGGATGTCTCCTCGAAAAGCTGTAATTTTAAAAATCGATGAACTTTCATTTTGTCTGAAATAAAATCTCCAAGATTTTCGGTAGAATATTACAATATTATATACGGAGTGTCCCAAAAAATGTGCCTAGTTTTGATTTTATTTTATTTTATAACTAAACTCAAGGTGCATCAAAAGGAAAAAGATCAAACACAAAGCTCAAACAAAGCACAACTCATGAAGCTAGCCTCCCATTCACAAGGCAAACAGAAAATAAAGGATGAACACAAAACACGAAGTCTAGACCCATTTAGAGAAGTAAAAAGCACTTTGCACAAAAAATCTAAAGACTTCTTGCATTTTTAAAACTCATGATGACCCCCTTTTTGTGTGTCAGCGAGCCTCCCCGGTAAAAGCTAGCTGACCAGGCCCCAATAGGACTTTGTTTTGAAGGAAGCAAGAATCCGAATCGGAGTGGTAAGGATAAGTACCTACCGACTACGTTAGAACGAGCGAGTACCAACTCCCAGCCCCATAGCTCAAACTTTGCAAAAAATCAATAAAATAGACAAAACTAATGGATAATTTTAAAAACTAATATTGTATTCGTATCAGCATGCTCCATTACCCCCCTGTGTCAACTCTCCCAGCCCCGTAGCTCAAATTTTGCAAAAAATCGATAAAATTATATCGATTAATGACGAAAAGTGGCTTATGACACCCGCCCGGTTCCGAAATGTATGTGTAAAAGTTTGGTTCGGATCGGTTCAGAAATGGAATTTTCTATTCGGAATATACGTACAGACAGACAGATAAACACAGACATACAAACAGACATTCGGCTTTATATATAAGATAGATTCAACAAACATGGACTAACTTTCTTCAAACAATTTCGGCGCAAGACGTATCTTTCAGCAGAATAGAGTCAACTAATTTGGCTTGTTGCGGGACTGTCAATCCACCAAAGACAGACAACTGGTCACATTTATTATTGCGGAATCTAAGTTGATATTTTGATAGCCTTTGTTACGAATTTGCTCGGACGGAATGCAGCTTCTCTCCTTCAGAGCAAAGTAAAGGATCACAAATTGCATCCATAACAGTTCTCAATTGCTAACTTAATATATGATAATGGTAAATGCATAGAACCTGATTCGGGACAAATGCTGAGAAACCATTGCTGGAGATCTGCCCAAATATTAGGCCATTCGGAAAGTTTTTTCGCTTTTTGCGCCTTTGATGTTGGT